GAGGTTGAGCGTGCTCCCCAGCAGGGTTACTGTCAGAACCAAAACAATCAACAATAATAATATCAACATTCGTGAGCACAGACAGGTGCCCGGCCCAGGGCTCAGCACTCCGTGAAGTCTCTTTCTTCTTCCTCCCAGTCACCTTCGGAATGGGTGACGTTATTACAGCCATGAAAGGAACAAAGAAACAAGGTTCCCAGACGGGCTGCTGAGGCCATAGGGGTGACCCAAGGGGCTGGGCCTAGCCCAGGCGGGGCCAGTAGCCCATCCTGGTTCCAGAAGCCACATGTGCTCCTGGAGCTCAGGGCCTGGCCCTCAGCGAGATTCCTTCTGCTTAAAGGTGCCTCTCCTGCTGTGCCCGGGTCCCCAGCACCAGAGTGGGGGGCAGGACATGCCTGGGCCAGGGGTGGGAAGTGCAGCCCGGTGGCCCACCCAGGGGAGCAGGGGGCCTCTCCTCTCTTCTGTGCCGAGGGAGAGGAACAGACTCTAGCCCTCATGCCTGCAGTCATACCTCCCCAGGGATGAGCCCAGGGTCCCCAGTTGGTCTCCTCCTGAAAAGCCGCAGGTGCCCGAGGAGTTTATGGGCTTCCCCCCTACCAAGAGGGCACGCTGGCCTGGAGCAGAGCCCCAGCTGTGCTGCTTCACAGGGTGACCACCAGGAGGGCCCAGCTGGGAGGGAGAGGGAACAGATGCATGCTGGCTGGGTGGTCGGGGAAGGGAAGTGAGTGCCCCGCCTGGGCTTGAGAGTTGTGGATAACTCAGGCAAGCAGGGGCTCGCCTGCGGCCAAGCGTCTGTGACACCTGCGCCTCCCTAGAATGGAAGCCAGCTCGACCGCTTACTCCCATCAACATGCCTATTGTGTGGGCGAGAACACTGAGGCTGCTGTGAGGCCACCAGACCGCCTCCATGTTCAGGCAGCTGCCAGGGAGTCCCCTCTCCACTCACACGTGGTGTAGCTGCCTGGTAGCCGAGATTCTGCCAAGAGTCAGGGCGAAGGTTAGGTGGCCCTGCCTCCTCCAGCTCTCCTGTACCGGGCAGGCACCTGGCAGACAGGCTGAGACGCAGGGCCGGAGTGGAGCCTGCCAGCCAGGCCCATCTGACAAACAGGGACCCTGGGAGCCAGGCAGGGCTCTGCCACCGTGTCGTCACCAGGCCAGGCCCCAAGCTACCCAAAAGGCGTGTGAACAAAGCCTATTCGTGGGCCTATCCTCAAGGATGGGCCGTTAGTGGGTGTGGGCCGGGAATCTGCATGTTCTGGCCCCTCCTGGGAACCCTGACAGTCACAGGGCCTGAGAACCTTTGCAGTAGGACAAACAAGGAATTTTCACAGCCATGAGCCTGAGGTCTCAGAAACGCTGGACTCACTTGCTTCTTAGCTCATCCCCCAAAGGGCACAAAATTCTTACAGCCAACGGGCCATCCCGCCTGCTGCCCTCCCCGACATCCTAGGTGGGTGGTCCTTTCCTGACCGGCAACCCACAAGGCTCACTGCCCAGGCGTGTGCAGCACCTGGATAGGCCAAGTCCCCAGGCAGTGGCGTCCACACCCAGTCCCCTGTGCTCTGCCTGGGAGATCACAAGGTCCTAGTGAATCAGGGGCATAGCATCTAATCCTTGCCCTGAGTCTAGAAAGCATTTTGCCACTGGGCTAAAAGGAACAGACAGGAGTCTCTGGGGGAGCTGCCAAAACGCAGAGCCCCAGTTTCCTCACCTGCACCACAGGATGCAGTGACAGCACCTCCCTGGTTGGGTAACTGTGACAACTACACGAAGCTCCAGCATAAAGCTGCCACACACTGAGCAACCAATCCCTTCACTTGCATGAGCTCATCTATTATTAACCCCATTTCCCAGATGAGGCACACAGAGTGACTCACCCTGAGTCACATGGTAAGAGACAAGAGGGCTGGGATTCGAACCTGGGGAGGCTGACTCCTCCAGAGCCCAGGCTGACACCAGCATGTGCTGCCTCAGTCAATGCTAAGCCTTACTGACAGCCGGAGGCAGGAGGAGGGAAGCTGGAGGCAAAAGGGACAAAGGTTCTAACTTTGTTTGGGGCAGGAAGGTGAGGGAAGAACTGACACTAGGTTGGTGTCACTCAGGAGAAAAATCAGACCTGGGCCAGCAAGACAGAGAAGCCCCAGCAGGGTTCGGGTGGAAGGTCTGGCCATCAACCACAAGTCCAGGGAAACAGTTACTCTGAAGAGGGGAAGGACATCGTCTTAGCCATGTTACTTCATTTTACTCTTACCCCAGCATGTCCCCCAGGGGCTAGTAAAGAAAAGTTAGAGTTGAATGATTCTATTGCAAGGGATGTTTGGAATCCTTGTATGCAATCTCCTATCCAGAGACTCACATGGATGTCAGCAGAATAAATGCTCTGATAAGTCCCGCAGAGGAACTTGTTTTGTTTATCCAGACTAGCGTTCCTCACCTGCAAGTGACCACAAAACCCTTTGCTTTTTTCTGGGATATCTGTTGACATTTCATGGAACCAAAGTTTGAGAAATGCTGGTATGGAGCAGAGGTCACCAACTATTAATATAAACGATTCCTGAAAATAATAAGCATTTTCCGCATGGCAGGCCATAGTGTCTTGTGTCACAGTGACTCAACTTTCCTATTAAAGCACAAAAGCAGCCCTAGATAATACATCAGCAAATGAGTGGGGCTGTGTGCCAGTAAAATGTTATTTGTGGACACCAAAATGTAAATGTCACAGAATTTTATGTGTTACAAATGTTATTCTTCTTTTGATTTTCCCAATCATTTAAAACTGTTCATAGTCCACAGGCCACAACAAAACAAAACAAAAAAACACCCTAGGTTGTGGGCTGAATTTGACTGTGATTGGCAGCTTGGCAGGGTATAGCTGCCAACCCTGGTTCAGAGCAGAGGGTGCTCCGGTGCCTTCTAGGTCCCCTTTAGGTCTCAGGACAAGGAATGGGGAAGAGGAACAGGGAAGGGGAAAGTGAGGGTACCACCAGGAGAAAGGGAACAGGAGTGTGGCCCTCAACTCTGAAGTCCCCTCACATGGCATGTGATCTTAGGTGAGTAATTCTGGTTTTCTGAAACTCAGGCACAGGGAATGTTCTGGATAGGTGAGACGGGCCCTCTTTTCTCACTCAGACCTTCCACAAGTCCTCATATCCTACTGCCGTGTCCCTGAGCTAGAGAAAGAGATCAGGGCCTCCTAAACCATGCTTTGAATAATTCATCCCCATGATTCTGGCCGGGCTTTTCCCCCAAGCTCCAGACCAAAGCAGTGACCTCTGATAGGGAGGAAAAGAGGCCAGGTCCAAGAAAAATAAAGGAAAAGGTGATTCCACTTAGCTACACGGTCTGGATCCACGTGGCAAAAATCCAGCATGAGCAACGTCAAAAATAAATAAATAAATAAAACTGGGAAAATGTTTGCTGCTCAAATTGTCGAGACCCACACTTGTGAAGACCAACCACCTCTTGGGACATAGGGTTAAGGACAGGGACAGACCACATGTAGCGAAGAGAGTACAAATGGTTCACATGAGAAAATGCTCCAGCTCAGAGTCCAACAAGACACCATCTGCCACCTACCAGGTTAGTGGCGATGGATTAGTGACAGGCTTGAACTCAAGAAAGGGACACGGCGCCCTCACGCCCTGCTGGTGAGTGAGCAAGTGGAATGGCCTCTAAAGAGGACAAAGTGACAATGTCCATCAAAACCACAAACAGACCACGTCACTTTGAGGCACTTATCCAAGAGTTTCACTGGCTCAACTGAAAAATGCCCCATGCGCGAGCTGTCCCACTGCAGCCCCATCTGTGAGAGCAAAACACAGAAACACCAAGAAGTACACTGGAAGGGGGAGGGGAGGTAAGTCAGTCTGGGCAGCGGTAACAACAGTTGTGATAACGGCTCTCATTTAGGGTGTGTGTTCTAAGCCCTCACTACTCAAAGTGTGGTCCAGATGGCAGCGGAGTCTGCACCACCTGGGTGCTGTCTGGGGAGGCAGGTGCCTCTGCCTGCCCCGGACCTGCTGCATCAGAGTCTTCATTTCACCAGGGGCCCAGGGGACTCCCTTGCACATTACAGCACTATTTTTATAATAAAACTCTTCCCATATTAACTCACTAAGTCTCATAACAATCCAATGCCCAGGCCCTTTTATCACCGCATGTTGGAGATGAAGAAGCCAAGCCTTGGACAGGCCAGGGAAGCTGTCCAGTGTCACATAGCATGTGAGTGCCTACACTGCATGGATGCAGAATACATCAGCCTTAAAAAGAACAGGGAAGCTCTTCAGTGGCTGACGGGACCAATCTCCAAGATAAGACACTAAAGTGGAGAATATTATATATGCCAGGCCACCATTTGTGGGAAGAAAAAAGAAAAAAATAAATAAAAGCAGACTCTCTATATAATTGCTTAAATACTCAGAGAGCATCTCTGAAAAGATACTCAGTGATGGAAACAGCAGATGCCCCTGGATGTGGAACTCTGCAGCTGGGAGAAGGAAGTTGGAGGGAAGCTATTTACTGTTACACCCTCTCATGCTGTTTGACTTTGGAGCCAGGGGCATGTATTACCTATTCAAAAATAAATGGGAAGACCTATTTTTCTTAATACTGGTGTAAAGGAGCTACCAGGGCTACTGCTAACCATCCTACAGGGCAGAAAAGTCCAGAATGTCCTGTGTTCCACGCTGTCACCAAGGGTTCCAGTTAAAGTATGGTTATGATGCAGCAAATAGTTGGGGGGTGGGTAAGATTGTGCATTTATAATAAAAGGGATGCCGCCTGCTGACATGAGACCCTTTGAGCAATGAGATCCAATTCAGCTGCGGCCAACCATGTGAACTTATCACGCTGTATTTGGTTTGGAACAAAAGGCTGAACATTGAGTACTGGTTGGGGCCTACAGGAAACCTGCTCTTGATGGAGAAAATCATGCGCCCTTCTGAGGTCCTCCTGAGGCACAGGCTACCATAGAACTGGTGGCCACATGGCCAGGGACTCACCATCCAGAGTCTCCACCGAGAGCTGCAGGCCCAGGTTGTGGCGCGGGTTGACCACCCAGTGGTTGCTTGTGGCTGTGATGTCAAAGACCAGCCACCCCTCCTCCGAGGCCCAGAGTGTTCGGCTGTCCAGCAGGAAGAGGTCTGATTCCCTGTAATAGAGGAAGAGAGAGACACAGGCTCCTGGTCAGCCAGGCCGCACAGCTTAGCACCCCGATAGCCAGCCACTGATGAATAAGAGAGTCTCCCAGGGTGGGCCAAGGGGAAGGAGGCCCAGAGGGCCCCAAAAGTGGGTTCTCCAGACCAAGATCCAGGTGCAAAGACCCTTGAGTATACAAGAGGTGCAGTGATATGGAAAATAGGGAGCTGCTATGAGGCGATTGTGAGGCGAGATCCCTGGGGGTCAGCGCAGAGGAGGGCAGAATTAGACAGCCTCCATGCTGCCGGTAGAGTCTCCCAAGCAGAAGCTGACACTGATCATAGTATTCCTCATTTACCAGACATCGTCCTGACAGCTCTACACGTATTATCTCATTCAATTCTCTCAGCCCTAATCTGCAGGGATATGATTTCCATTCAATATACAGTAAATATATTCGCCCAAGGTCATTTAGTTGGGAACTTCCCAAGTCGGATTTGAGCCCAGGTAACTGAACACCAAAGTGGCAACTTCATGAGCCTACCAAGCATCAGAATGTGAATTCCTGGACTGATGTTATTAATAGAGGACATCCTTTCATCCTCTCTTCCTCACCTTTTGACGTAGCAGAATTAACCTTGAAGTAGCAAAATGGATAACGCCAGAATTAACCTCGTAGGGCAGTGACTTTCAATTTCACCGGTGTGCGATGACAGGATCTTAGGTGTGCCACAAAAATTAATTAAATTATTTTCAAAAGAAGTTCAAAGCACAGTAAATATACTCTTTTTTTTAACTCTTGTTTTTTTTTATTGACATAATTTAAGTGTGCCGTGGAAGTTTATAGGTTCAAGTGAGCCATGAGATAAAAAGGATTGAAAACCACTGTTGTAGTGGAGAGAGGATGGTTGGATGGGTGGGTGAGTGGATGGCTGGGTGAGTGGATGAGTAGATAGATGTCTAGGAGTGGGCGGGAAGGTGGATGGATGAATGAGTGTGTGGATAGATAAATCTTTACATTCTGAAAATAGAATTCTGGCATATAAGGTCTTTGTAGCATCTCTTGTGCACCTTCAATGATAAAGATTCAAAGTTTTGATACTTCAGTCCCTTCAACAGTCAATTAAAATATCTGAACCCCTATGTTATGCCAGGTGCTGGGCTGTAACAATAAACACCATCACACTGGCTCCTTCCCCAAGCCACTGAGAGTCTTCATCATACTAGAGATACCTAATTTTCCTGAGATCGAAGGTGAATTTTCTCTGCTCACACATAGATGGCAGACATATCAACTGTTTAGTGAGCGCTTACTCTGTGCCAGGCTCTAGGCTGAAATGCTTCACCGGCATCACTGCGTCCTTACAACTCTCTGAGGTGGATGATATTACATGCATCATTGTGCAGAACTCAAAACCAAGGCCCAGAAACGTGGCGTTGTTTGCCCAGGATTACACCACTACTGTCCAGGCAGGACTGGAACCCAACCAGGCTACCGACAACCCCAAGCTCGCATTGACACATGGAGACGGTTTTCCTGGACGTTACTGTGCTCAGGCATAGCTGTCAGCATTTCAGAGTCTTTGACAAATCAGACTTGCTGGCACATAACTCAATGAGCCATCAGCAGGCGCGAAGCAACAGAAGCCCCTTTAGAGGAGGCACCTGGCTCTAGTTGGCCCAGTCCCCAATGCTCCCAACTGAAACTAGTGACACAACCATCCCCATTTATCTTTCCTGGCTGGTCTGGAGACCTCGGCTGCGGAGGTCTGCCAAATTATAATTCTGCTGCGTTACACATGCTACACGAGACATCCGTCAGACACATCAATACGTACAGGGCTCAGGGAAGACAAGCAAGACCTAAATCTGTAGCGTTAGCTGGTTTCTCAAATTCATTTTGAAATGAAATAAAATAACAAGGGGATTAACAGGTCACTCAGAGAAGCCAGCACAGGGAGGAAGAACCAGGCTGAGAGAGACAGGAACTGGGGCAGGTGTGTGGGTGCGGGGCTGTTGCACTAAGCACATCAAAGAAGGAACAAATCTGAGCTGTTTCCCCTTCTTTGCTTCTTTCCAACCAAAAGTCTGAGGCCAGGAAATCTTGTCAGGGCAGTCAAATCACATGCCTGCTCCTGGCCACATGAGCGCGGGCACTTCACAGGGATGGACAGTATCACCAGGACCACAGAGGGTGGCAGGGGTCACCCCCAGAAACCCCACTTTCTAGTAATACTCAACAACTCCCAGAACCTGATTCAGAAAACGCTTAATTATAGTATTGCTATGCTGTGAGTATTTGCGCTCCTTCCAAAACTCATGTTGAAACTCAATCCTCAACGTAACAGTATTAAGAGGTGGGACCTTTAGGAGGTAATTAGGCCATCAGGGATGGATTAGTGTCTTTATAAAAGGGCTTAAGGGAGAAGGTTGGGCCCTTTTGGCCCTTCTACCTTCCACTCCTTGAGGACACAGCAACAAGGTACGAGAACAGCCTTCACCAGACACGAACTCTGCCAGCACCTTGAGCATGGACTTCCCAGCCTCCAGAACCGTGAGAAACACATTTCCATGATTGATAAACTGCCCAGTCTCAGGTATTTTGTTATAGCATCATAAATGGGCTAAGATAATTATGCTGCACGTGTGAATGCCACATGACTTCTGATCTTACAACCAAAAATTCATTGCCAGGATATAAGGCAATACATCGTCTCCCAGCCCGAAAAACCAGAATCCCTCATAATGTGTAAAAAACTTACTCCCATCTTTAAAACACAGAGATTACAGAAGTAAGGAAGTCTTTTTAGAGCCACATAGGATTTCGAAGACCCTAAGTTTGACTTTCATGTCTAAACCAAATTAAAATAATGAGACAACTTTTCATGATTCATTTACTTCTTCTTCCTCCCCACACTATTTTAGAGGTGATTTCAGCCTGACTTGGGGGATGTCCATACAGATTTTAAGCTTGCAAACAAGAATTTCCTGCTGTCTTCATCTCTAATTTGCCTTGATGACTGTCCTGGCTCTGGAATGCTACCAAGGTTGTCAAGGAACCAGTTAGCTGTTCTCCACAATTAACAGATGAGAGATGAAACACCACTCCAGACCAAAACAGTGTCTCCTACTGAATCAGCCTCCCCAGGTCCCTGTAGGAAACATCTTATACCATAGCACAGAAGTCACACGCCCAGGTGGTGATATTGCTGGAAAACTGTTCTTTGCAGGAAAATGTGACCAGCTATCTGGACAGTTCCTCATGGATGGTAAAACAATGAATGGTAACTGGGGGAACAGAATTAAGCCTTTGAACAGAGAAAGCCTTGCCAAGCCATGCTAAACATTCTCTCGTTGCAGGCCATGACACTGAGGGCCAGATGTTACAGGCCAGGGTTGACTCATAGTGAATCAGTGTGATCCACTCAGCTCCCCTCCCTCAAGTCACAGTTTTCAGTTTGTTCCAGGCACGCTTAGAAGACCCAAACCTTCATCTGAAGGCAGCAAGAGAGGGGAGCCTTGTTGAGACGGGTAGAGTGTGAGATGTCAGCACGGGCTTTGCTGTCCGTTGGACATCCCAAGACCTCGTGAAAAGGACAAGGAAGGAATTACTCAGCAGCTGGGAAAGTGGGAATTTCTAGCTACCACCTGGAGCATCGTAAAAGAACACTGGTTCTTACAACCGGGAGAGCCCTGAATGATTCCTTTGTGACATTTTTATTTACCTTGAACACACTGGCCTCCCTGACCCAGCCCAGGTGGGAAAGGCTCAGAGTGCAGGGCCTCAAGGAACCTAAGTGCATTTTTTGACCTTTACCCCAGCTGGGCCCCTCCCGAGTATTGGTTTCCCAAATCTCCCCACCTGTCCTATATCTTGCAAGGATGATTATTCCCACTTTACAGATGAGTAAAGTGAAGATCAGTGAGGTGAAGACAATGTCCACGTTGACTGGTTTTATATGTGGCAGAACCAGACTACAACACAAGAAACCTGTCCCAAGAACTTGAGCACCTAAACCCTTGTCAGCTCCTTAACTCACCAGGGGACAGGAGAGACACAGGAAGTTGTCAAATCCTGTCTGGTGCATATTGTCATGACATTGTATAGGGCAGAGAAAATCGTAGAGGGGGATGACACCCAGGCAGTGGGGGATGGGGAAGGCAAGATGATCAAGCCAGCTAATTCCTGAGCCTCAGTTTACTCTTCTGTGTAATGGGGATAATGCTATTTTTTTTTTCAGTGACTGGGGACAACCAAGTTATGACTCACCTGGCAACAACTCCTGGGGCTCTCTGGGCAATACCTATAGTTATGACAAACTATGTCAGTGTTGGTATCTATTCCCTGCTAAACTTCAGGAATTCTAAGATGGGAACAGACCTTATGTGTCTTGGCCCCCGAGATTATGTGACGAGCTTGAGATCCTCCAGTTAACAGACTACATATCTATTCAAAAATGTTCACCTTAGACTCCAAAATTCACCAGAGAAGTGTATAAGGATCTTCACAGTAGTGGTAGATTTACTGCAAATATTGCTACCAACAATTCCACCTATCGCTGTATCTGCTTGCTGTTCTCTCATAAAGCTGTGGAGTCTGTTCCCCATCTCTGATGCCTGGACTGACCCAGAGACCAGTTGTGACCAGTAGGACCAAGAGGAAGAAAGTCCCTGTCAGGTCTAAGGCTGGGACTTAAGAGGCTTAGAAGTTTCTATTCTTCCTCTCTAAAAAGCTAAAATCAAGAAATCCGACTACTGTGCTGAAGAGAGTGTCCACGCCGAGAGGAGGGAGACAGACGCAGTAAGGATGAGAGTCCATAAAGAGAGGGAAAGAGAAAGAACAAGCTCCAGCGTTCATCAGTGACCACAACAGACAATACAGAGTGTAGAAGAACCGCCCAGCCAAGCCCTGCCCAAATTCCTGAGCAATAAAATGATTTGTTACTTTATGCCACTACGCGTGGGTGGTTAGTTTCGGAGACAGATGACCCAAAACAAAAGTCACATTGTTTA